TCAAGCTGCAGAGAAGAATATGAGCAGAAGTTGATAAGGAGTACATTTAGAGTGGGAGTACATGAACCCTGAACCTGGCTGTTTCGCAAAAGTTCAAATTCTTTTTGCACAGTTAATAACATAAAGAAATCAAGGATGGTGTCGGTGCTATCTAAAGCATTCAACACAGTTCCTCACGCGGTGGTCTGCCCTGTCCCGATGTCTTCATTAATTTGGTAATGTATTCATTAATGCACGCTGAGATTTCCACCGCCATTCAGGCCTCCTCGAAAGGCAGTGAGATGCCAATTCGCAGAGAGTGAATCAGAGACCACTTGTCCCCGCTCCTTTTTAATCTCATTAAAAAGTACCTGCTTGTGAAATGGTCCTTATTAAATCTACAAAGGATTATCAATTGTAGGAATATTGATGTGAAGTTGTTGACGTAATTACATGATAAAAATGGAAGTTCACTTAATAGATTTATTTAGAGAGCCGACGTTCGACGACTTTGCCATCTTCATCGTTACACAGTCTCACGACTTTTGTCACACACAGCAAGACTGATGATGGCAAAGCCGCCAAAACGCGGCTCTCCAAATAAATCTATTAAGTTGAGGGAGATGACTTCCATTACCTCATCAACAAAGGATTATCAGTTTTCATACCCGAGGTATTCTCGGACGCAATCGGATTCTAGCAGGTAAGTAGAAAATAAAGATTTCATACGATGTAAAAAAAATTCAATATGGTAAGTTCAAAATATCAAATATTCAATATTCTTGGCGCAAAATATGTAAATACATATTCTTGATAAATGCTGAACAAAAATAAATTTTCTTCCGTTCATTAAACATCCCGTAACACCATTGTATACGGGAAATGTCTGGAAAAAGGGCTATGTCGTAAATAATACGAGAACTTCCCAAGCCTATAACTCTAAAAGGGTTAATGTTACAATAAAATCTTACAGAAAAATTTCTCTTGGAAATTGATTCTCCGATTTTGTGTAGAACATACTATTTTTTGGTAGTTGATGGTCGGATAGTTGATACAAGAAAAAGTGTAGAAAAATACCTTTGAACGACCCTCCAACCACCCAAGTCTCACCCTCCACACTTCAGGATTTTTAATATATAGTGCCGTTGGTACCAAGGAACAATAATGCCAAGTACCAAACTGATCCACTGGTAAGGGCATGTGGTGACTGTCGTGGTAATATGTCTTTGTTTTCTACAGTATAGATGATAGCAGGGGTGATCACAACCAGTAAATGATTAATTGAAGATGTGACTCTAAAACACAAAATACAATACAAATTACACAATAATAATACATCTGGAGTTGCAACTTAGGTAACTGTCAATCTATTCCTAACATCATATTAATGTGGGAGACCTGTAATCCTTCTTCACCTAGCCCATCTCTTTGAAGATTCACCTGAAACACAATTAAACACTTTTCATAATTTACTAACAAAATCATACTCCGTAACTACATACACTACGGTATATGTATGCAATATGCACAATGTGAATACTTCTATAAATGTAAAAGTAGTTTTGTCTTTCATACATATTCAAGTTTCTACTAAAAAGCTCTTTTTTAGTTCTTATTGTTGTGTTTTTTATGAAAGTTCTTAAAAACTGTTCTTGATTGAATACTATCACTTTTATTTTCAGACTATAAAAATACTTTTCATTGTATCTCCAAATAAATACTAAATTCTTCAATTACTTAAGGTGAGATTCCACCTGAAAAAATAGAAAAATATCGAATTCTGTTTTTAATGCTTACAATAATCTTCATACTTTTCTGAACATTTTTATTTATTTTTTATTGAAAAAATGGGATATTTTATTTCGTTCTGAATATGGGGGCTTCACAGGCTTACGTTTGATAAGCCCCATAGTTTCAGATAAATAAAATTCGGATTGGCTGGGTTCGCTGTCGCAGTCGGGAGAATATAATTGTTCCCAGGTGTCAGAGGTGTTGGGCTTTTGGGCACCTGGCGCGAAACTGTAAAGGGCCTGATAAGTCCAAGAATTGGCATTGATGCGGTGAGGGGGGG